TGTGTGTGTGTGTGTGTGTGTGTGTGTGTGTGTGTAAAAGAGAGAGGCAGTCTGGTGTGACAGCAGCGAGCGTAGAGCCACCTTTAGAGCTCCTTTAAATAAAACACAAACACCTGCACACCAACACGTCATCCAGGTAAAATACTCTGTGTGATGAATAATTTATCAGCTGTTAGTTCGTCTTCATCACTGTTCACATCATTAAGGCTGAAAACCCATTTAAAAGGAAAGGAAAAAAAAAAGAAAAACAAAACGTGTCCAGGCTTCATCACTTGTTTGTGGGCCTGAGGAGCTACATCACACWTTTAATGTATGTTACATCCCAGGACTGATGGCGGTCTGTAAGAGTGACTCAGCACTTTGCTCAGGTGTGCTGAGGTGAGCGAATGCCTGCACGCTGAACAGCTCAGCAGCACCAGAGGCAGAGTCCAACACTTCCTGTATGGTCAAAGGCAGCTTTGGGGATTTAAGGCAAATGTCCCCTCAGGATTGTAACACAATTTTCAATAAATAATCCAAGTTTTAACTGGCTTTTAGGCCGTCACTGATCTGTTTTAGTTTTTTATTGTTTTATTTTGTTGCTCCCTTTGATATCATTTAAAGAAATGTTCTACTTGGGTGGTATGACCACAAGTGAAGGGCCTCTCCTCGGCCTCCACATCAGAACTTGGGCATCGTTGGCGTTTGGTCTCCCCGTGGCGTTAGGAGGGATGGGCTCCATGCGGCTCAGAACCCGGGGCTGGTCCTGATGCAGCCGTCCCACCAGCTTGGCTCTGGAGCCCAAAGGCAGGGATGGATCCACCACGATGTCCACCCGCATCCTCCACTTGATGGTGTGGAGCAGGATCTTCTCCTTGGAGGTGGTGTTCAGAGCCACCAGCCACGTGGTGAAGCTCTGGTCCCTTTTGATRTTGGTCAGTAAGGGTGTGTTGGATTCGCTGACGGGCACCGCCCAGGTGACGCTGGGGTAGAAGTTGTCGTTCATGCTGACGGTTAGGCGGGACGGCTTKGAAGTGGGGCCCACTATGGTGACGGTCTCCGTCGTGTTCCCRTACCAGGGGTAGCTGACGCCGTCCGAGTCGCTGATGGCTCTCACCAGACCTCCTCTGAGCTGAGGCAGCTCCCAGCTCGACCTGCAGGGAGACGCAGGACAAACAAAAAACATATTAGTTAAAACTGATATTTGTATTTAAAAGAGGATTTTTTTCTTTATGTGACCATAGAATAAAAACTYGCAGACTTGTGCTTAAAAAGATAACAGCATATATAAAAAGTTTTGGACTTTTTAGTCCAACATTTTCCCTCTTTTTACAG